ACTGACACATTGTATACGGTTGACACAGGAAAGATTGACTACTCTCGTGCTGGCTATATTCTATCTTTTACAAACATCAGCAATGCTTCGCTACCTAGCCAAGGAAATAAACTTCCCTCGCAATGGTTTATCAATCTAAATACTTTAACTAGACGTTCTATCACTAAGAAAAAGTGTTTAAGGTGGCCAGGAGCAGAGACGCCTTCATGCAACGGCTATGCACTAATGCTTGAGGGAACGGGTAAATTGTCATAATTATCTACTCGAACTCCATTTGTTCTCTTATAGTACATTTTCTAAGAGAAATTTTCTTCTTTGATCCAAAAACTTTTGTATCTACTATAATTCAGATAATCAATAGAAGTATGAATACTAAAACCTCTCCAACAACTGGGATATAAACTCTACAAACATTGATAATAAATACTTCAGTGAAGGGCTATTAGCTTAACGTTTAACCGAAAGAAAAGACAAGAACTCAGAAACTTGTTAACCTTGGCTCTTTTGACCTTAATGTCTTCAATCTCTTTCAGGAATAACTGAGAATGAAATGATTATTAAGCCTACCGTAGCAAGCCAATGCTAGTGCTTAAAATGTAGGATTTCCAACCATCGCCTGAGGAGACTATCTCAGCATAACAATTATAATATGATTTTTACAATAAGCCACAAGTAGGAGAAATTTCGCGCAGATCAGAGAGTGGTGCAGATTTAGAAAGCCCAACTGTGGCTGGTAAAATCTCCGAAAAGTGGCAAAGCCTAAAATTCGCGTTAAGATGGCTCCAAAATCAGCTCTATTATATGAAAAGAGAAGTTGTTCATCAAGTAGTTTGATGAGGATTAGATATCAGTTCTTAGCCGTTAAGTTAAAAATGTTGGCTGAAATAAGTCCGTTCAATTCTAAAACCACACACTTTCATTAAATTTTAAAAAAACCAACTTCAATAAGTGCACCATCTGACTTCAAATTCTATTTGTACTTCTTATTGATGCATTTCTCAACATTTTTTTTCCAGATGGCGACTATTTCAAGTCTTTCTTAGACAAAACTGAGAGGGTACCGTTGTATGTAGATGACATTTGCAGGTAACGAGAATGAATAACCTATATTTGATGACACTCTTTATCGGTATTGTTTAGAACGACACAATTCGAATTTGAAAAAGAAGTAACAGTGAAAGGCATAAACGGATATCGTTACGTATTGCCTCCTGACCAGTTCGATTATTCAATTAACGACAATTGCGGTTTTTGTAATCCAAGCACAATGAGTAAGCATGGAGCATACGATCGACCGGTGAACAGTACTTGTCTGCCGAGTGGTTTGCTAGATATCAGTGGATGTCAAGGAGGTAGGTACCTCTTTATAGCAAATTACCGTCTTTTCTATGAAAAACCCAAATTCTTTATCAGCTTTCTTGCAGTATTGGCAATCCTCTATGATTTAGTTCCAATAATCATCTCGAAGCCACACTTTTACCAGGCATCTGATATCGTACAGTCATTTGTCCCACGTTTCAAACCTACTTATGATGATGAGACTACGCTTGACATAGAACCGGTAAGATTGCACGAAACTTGAAAAATTACCATGATCTTCAAACTTTCAGATGACTGGAACAGTGCTTTCCGCGATGAAGCGACTACAAATTAATCTGCTTGTAAATCAGTTCCCTTCAATCGCGTGAGTGGCATCATTCAATTAGAGTTCTAGAAAAAAAGAATGACTCTCTAACCCTACACAACTAAAATTATAAATTGTTTAGATCGTATAGCGTCATACGACCCGGCGCATATCCTTTGGTGTGGCTGAATGAATCATTCTTAATGGACGATGGGACGAGGGATGACTTGCGGTCTTCCCTATTCACACCGCAAAAAACCGTTAATATTATATGTTGGTGCGCTGTTGGTGTAGGAGGTAGGAAAATTAGATCTAATCTTATTTTATCACACAAAGGATACTGCCAAGTAGTTTCCATACATGTGCTGTGACAAACTTGGTCGTAATGCTCACCACCATTAGCAAACTTGATTGTATAAACCTGTATTTGAGCTGCGGATAACCTAAACTTGGATAACTACTTTAAGAATTAAAAACAAATAGAGTAAGGAAATTAGACACTTAACAAAGTCAGTAGCACCTGTATGCTATGATGCGGTTGATATCTACGTAGATATTAGAACACTAGTGGTTTACACTTTTGGAAGCTCGCAATGGTCTATCAGGATGAAAAAAAGCCATACGTAGTATATGCCAATTTGCGAAACCGCCATTGCAATGAACAACTATCTCACTACAATATTGCAGGGGCCGCTTGAAAAGTTTGCTAAATAAATTCAATTTCGTGTCGGAAGCGCCGTATAAATTTGTTATATTCTT